AAAAACCCCCTTGTGTAAAATTATCATTTGATCCACGTGACAAAAAATCCGGTGATTTATGGTAGGGTAGTGTATATGTTGTTCCATCGTCGTAGACAATGGTAGAGCATTAAAGTAACGGTTTTCCATTGTATATAAGTCGTAGTAAGTAGTAGACTTTGAATATCTTATATATATGTGCGTATATCGTTGTTTGAACTCGACTTTATATCTTCTACTGCTGTTGTTGCTTCGACGCCCTGGCCTGACGGTATATAAGCTTGTTGTTCAAAGTCGTAATAGTAGAAGGTAGACTTTGAATATCTTATACATATGTGCGCAAAATCGTTGTTTGAACTCGACTTTATGTCTTCTACTGCTGTTGTTGCTTCGACGCCCTGGCCTGACGGTATATAATACACCATATACGCTTGTTGTTCAAAGTCGTAATAGTAGAAGGGAGTATTGAAATAATAAATTTCCATTGTAGATAAGTCGTAGTAGTGCGTATATCGTGTTTGGACGTGCCTAACGCCGACTTTGTATCTTCTTCTACTGCTGCTGACGGTATATAGAGGCTCGTTGCTCGAAGTCGTAATAGTAGAAAGGAAGGTGAGAGTATTTATTCTTGGGTTGTTGGTCATCGTAAAATGAAAGTCTAGCCAGACTTTCCTGCAGTCGCCCAATGAATGATAACAAGAAAGCGGAGAGTAGGGAGAGTAGGGATGGCGACGAAGGATGATTAGTTTCAAGACTCCATTCGTCCTTAGGCCGGTTCCAGTAGTCTGCACAAAAAATGCTAGTCATCGTAAAATGATACTTGAGTAGATGGTGAAAAAAAAAAGTAGTCACATGGTTTTTGAGTGTTAAGCCTTCATGATTGGGTAACAAGCACAAATATTGATTGTTATTTATAGTATTAATTGTATTAAACGTGCACTAACTTTAAGAAATGAACTGAAAAAGCAAAATTTGTGCAGGCGTTAACAAATTAACACTTAATTTAAGTTCGGCTTGCCTTGAATTGGTTGTACCAAGCATTGATATAATTATGGCAAGGCTTACTATTTTATAGGGAATAACAAGAATGAACGTAATGAAAAATATTCAGATTTCAAAAATTTGAGACGCCACAATTGTCTTATCATATTTCGCTCACCACTATTAAGGCATGTTCACGCTCATATTCTAACCAAGAGGTAATTACCTCAGTCTGCGTGAAGTACATTTATTGCGATAATGCGGGTAACTCTGTTTATGCTCGAATCGTTTAATATATTCTTTATCAGTTGTTGAGAGATAGCAGGCAGGTTCACTGCAACATGTTTTCAATTGAATAGGAAAGCAGAATATGGCGATAGTTTCTCTGCTAATGGTCTTTCGCTCAAAAACAGTAAGTCACCGCATGGATCTGTACAGGAAACCGGCAAGTCCCCATCAAATATAACAAGCAAAAGGAATTAAACAATAATAATATCGTAACCATGTATTATACAACGCAATAGATAGTGAGTGAATACAGTATACAACATGTCACCATTAACCTTGCGCGGTGGTCGAGCTACCATAAACTCCTCTATTTACTACCTCTTTACTCGTTGTGGGATGACCGATGAAACGAGTGCATCATCAACAGAATCGAACCAGGTTGCTGTTGCAACAACACACCTTCGAGCTCACGAAACCGTAATTACCTACCATCGAAGACATGTGGCAGTATAATACAAACAACCCCTTTCACATGATTTTTACTCTGGATCACTATTACTATGTGCCTTCTGACACCGTGTGAAGTAAACGAACATTCATCTCTGTGCATCTAACTTTTCTCGCTCATTGATAATTCCTAGAATATTGGGAATGAGAATAAGTGATAATTTGGAGATTGATTTGGGAATAGTCTTGAAGAGTGTGTCCAATTATTGTGATATCAACTGCATGCACAGAAAGTAATGGTTAGGAGGAGGGGTTATTGAAAATAAGAAATTACTATTACTTGTGGCACTCTTGATGAAAAGGGAAACTACAATGCAGTAGTTAGTTTTTAAGGAGCGGCCGTCCAGAAATTTTATGTTTATTGGGTGTTCCGCGCAAAAGTTTGTGGTGGTTTAGAAAGAGATTGAGGACATAAAGAAAAATAAAAGGACATGGTAAGTCATGCATGAGATATTAATATTTTAGACCAGTCAACGATGGAGAAGGGAAGTGTGGCACAGGGGATGAAAAAATTTTAAAACATTTAGGCATGAGCCGATCCCAAATATGTAGCTTTTCCACAAATTGACTTTTCCGGTACACACGCAGTTTCCTTAACCGTCATTGTCCTTACTTAAAATAAAACCATTATCCTTGACGCACAAAAGTTGCAATTAACAATTATCGTCTTCCGGTCGGTGGAAGCACTGGATCTCAAAGAGAAAATACAAAATTTAGCCGTTTTTCATATCAATATCAGCCGTAATAGTATATAGCGTATCATTCTAGTGTTTGCAATGGGTCAAGGTAATGGAAAAGCTGGTGCAGACTTTAATGAAGAAGGTATGAACGAATTTGGATATCAGTCATGTAAGGTGGTGCGGTGATTAGTTGGTAGAGTAATAATGACGTAAAGTGTCTGCCATATTATAAAAAAATGCACGATAATTAAACGGTAATAAACAATTGTATTGCGCCAAGAATTCTCGTCACCCCAGTTAACATTATGATATCAATTACGCCTTGCAATTATCCCCTCTACACAACCTTGAAACAGTTAATTTGAACCAGTTTGAACTTCTCCGAGTAGTCGGAAAAGGTGCCTTTGGGAAGGTATGTTATACGAAACAAGAGAGTATCACTATCACACGATAAGTCAGTATGGAGTCAACGCATCTACTTCTTGGGGGAGGCGGTGTTTCTTTACCTTGTTGATAATATGTTTGATCTGTCTGTTTATCTAGTCATCGTGGTTTAGATAGAAAATTATCGTTTACTTATACATAATCAAATTCAGTCGACTGATCTTTCATTTCATTTCTCATTTCCTCTTTTTCGCCAGGTACGAATAGTAAAACGTCGCGATAACAACAAGCTATATGCACTCAAATACATATCAAAAGAAGAATGCATCCGAATAGATGCAGAACGGAATATACTCAGAGAACGTTCCATGTTGGAAGAATTGGATCATCCGCTTGTCTGTAATTTGCGATTTGCTTTTCAAGATGAAGATTATATGTACATGGTTATGGATTTAATGTAGGTGGCAATTGGGAAAACAGGGACTGGATGCTGGGGGAAATGACGGATGAGGAGACAATTATTAGTTAGTTTGTTTGTTTGTTTGTTTGTTTTTTCGACAAATGTTGCAACACAGAATCTAAGCGATGTCCTATTTTAATCAGGATGGGCGGCGATTTACGATTTCACTTGAATCGAAAAGCATTTACTGAAGATGCTATTCGCTTTTGGATAGCTGAACTAGCCTGTGCTATAAGATATCTCCATTCTAAGGATGTTGTCCACAGGTATCTAACGATAAATTTCTACTTTACCCTTGATCGACTCCATGTTTCATGGAAGGTGGAATTATCTCAACAGACGTGTCTGACGTACGTATCCCCCCCCCCCTCCATACTTATAAGAGACATAAAACCAGATAATGTCTTATTGGACGAAAAAGGACATGTACATCTGACAGATTTCAATATTGCTACTCATATACGCCCGGATAGGCCTTTGAGTTCTCGTTCAGGAACATGTGCATATATGGGTAAGCGGAAGAGTACCGATTTATAATGTGGTTTGTTAGCGGGAGAGAGTGAAGGTCGCTACAGCGGGGATGCGCTACAATGGAGATGCCGAGATTCAATTAATTTGTATTTTAATAATAGCACCAGAAGTTTTCAAGAGTAGTGGATATGGGATAACCGTCGATTGGTGGTCTTTGGGTATTTTGTTTTACGAATGTGTGTACGGAAAGGTAATTTCATTTTATTGCTTTACTATGAATGATGATGTAATTGTAATAAGCTGAACTTTGATTTTTCATTTGTAGCGCCCATTCGAGAGCAATAATCAAGAAGAGTTAAAAAAGATGATAGTGAGAGCGCCTATAAACTATCCAGATATGGATCCGCCTGTCAGTCCAGCTTGTATTTCAGCAATACAAGGTGTAAGTAATCTACGGCAAGGGGGAGGAGATTTTTGTTACTCTATTACAGTGGCCGTAATAACGATCCAACTATGCATAAAGTGGATCAGAATTAAAATTAGGCGCTGCTTTTGTGTTTTAATTGGTTTTTTCCACATCACATTCCTTGTACATGTCCTCACTAAACTGCTTTTATTTATCGTTTTTTCTAGTTCCTCGAACGCGACATCTCTCGAAGGTTAGGTTGTGGTCCGAACGGCTTTGCACTAATTCAATACCATCCATTCTTCCGGCCACTTGATTTTTCCCTTCTCGAAGCCAAATCCTTCGATCCAGTCTTCTGCCCACCACCAGATAAAGTAAATTTCGACGCAACGCTCGATCTAGAAGAGATTCTCCTCGAAGAAGAGCCTCTGGAAGCGCGAAGAGGGAGAAGACACAAAAGACATAGGGATCCAGAACAGGAAGCACGATATTTGCTTATCGAGGAAAGGTTCAAACCGTTTGATTATATGGTTTTTGAGAGATATAAGGGATGGATTGATCCCGTTACAAGATGCGTAGGAGATCCGCCGGAATGGGTCAAGCCAGCTGCAGTGGAGTTGGAGAATCAGAGAGAGAGAGCAAGTCAGGAGCAACTTGTTGGGTCACGACGTGAAAGTCTTGGAGGGAGTGCTACGAACGTTGTGATTGGAAATGGATTCAGCGGAATTGCTGGAGTTGGCTGAAATGTGCGTTTGGAAATAGCGGTTAAATATTGTGTGAAGGTGATTGGCGCTTGATGAAAATGGTTTGTCATTTGTTGTGAATTTGTTTTCTGCTTATTATTGTACAGATATGTTCTTCTTCTTTGATGATTATTTATTCATCGCACGCGAAATACTCGCTGAATTAGTTACAGCAGATTAGAAAACCTTTAAGTTAACTTTTTATTCATACAAGTTCCCAAAATGGATCTTTTCCACTTAATAGTGTTCTTAATAACTACTTAAAAATTAACAATCAATAAACTTGTATAATAGACGCCATAAAATAACCAAATACTGGTTGGACACGCTTCAAGATGTAACAAACAGCCGCAATTACTGAATTACTGGTCTAATATGGCAAGCTTTCCAAGTCTCTAACAAGGGGACTTTCAACATCTCCCACGTGTTTACTATGAATAAATGATCAATTGCTATATTAAGTTTTAATAAACGGGTCCAGGGTCCAGCAATAACGATAAAGAATACCAAAAAAGGCACTGATTGGTTGTCTGCCAATGGGGCTTTTACAGTATTCCTTGAAAATTCGTTGTTTGGAAAATGTTAAACAAGTGTCTATGATTTGACAAACCTTTGTTTGCACGAAATCGGAGTTTGATAACGTTTGTGGAACTATGTTTGCAGAACATGTGTTTAATCAAATATCAAATATGCTCGTATAGACCTGAAAGCCTCTTTGTCTCAAATGCGTTCAACCAAAGGCCTACGTCGATTATTGATATCAACATCCTTTATTTCTCGAACAAGCTTCATGATCTAATTCACGATTGGCAAACAAGTTTTAAATTCGTGGAAGAATTTAACAGTCTGAATATGCCTTAGACAGTTATTGTCGTTGTACATTTCTTCAGCCACAAGGCATTCTCATTCTATTGCATTATGTCTCTGCAAATACAGCCACACCATAAAAGTTCCTCGCGATAGCAAATACAGCCACACCGTTAGAGTCATTAACGTATGACTACTGTCGTCATTTATATTTGTGTAACGATTGCAGTGGGCTTATGACAAACACGTCTCGCATTTTGCCGTTAGATACGAGTCTTGCACTGATGTGTTGAATGCGTAAGCGTAGTGTGCGCAGAACTGTTCTATGAATAGCCATATTACGTATGTTACTGACGTGTTGGTTGGAGTCAAGGCCTGTCAATAATTACTGGTGTGTTTGCAGATGTTGCTGCCGCAACATAATCAGTGACATAAACCGCTTTCTCATTTACGCTGTCCGGATACTTGTTTCTTGTCCACGCATCAAGTAACATGGATTTCTCCTTGCAAAGTTGAACAGATTATTTAGCTGACGGTCTTGCAGCAAAGGGAATTCAAACATTTATCGCGCGCTTTTTCAACCGTCCCATATTAATATTTTTAAATCATGGCTATGTACTGTATATTTGTCGATCGTTAATCATTTCATATCCAATCATGGAATAATCTTACACGCAGCAAAATACGCTATCGTTTATACAGTGCTGACATCATATCAGCAACACAATTGCCACCCCCCCCCCCAAATCCCATCACCCTCCCCTTTAAACCCTCGTGCTTATTGTCTACCCCATCCACAAGGCAAATTGCCACTACTTTACCTCGATAGATAGCCGGAATCAGAGAAGATAGCTGAATAAAGGAATTAACCAAAGATGAATCCCGAATAGTGAGTCTCGAGTTTCATGATACTAGTTTGCTTGAAGTTTTACTGTAGCAAAAGACTATTCAACAAGAGGTTGTTGGGAGAGAGAGAAAGTCGACGACGAACGAAGAAAGTCTGTCGAAGGAAAAACAATACCTATATTACAGACAGTGCGAGACAAGTTTGGCAGAAGAAGGTTGCCAACGAAGGAGCGGGAAACCCGATACCTGCAATATAATACTGAGAAAGGTTCCCGTTCTGCATGTCTCAAGGTCCAGTTTATGGTATAACTGTTGTTTGTTTCCCTCGCCGGCTGTCTATTCTCTGCTCTCATCTTTCTCTTGCCTCGTCTCTTTAATAACTGCACGGACCTAATGAAATCAATTAGCGACCTGCTCGACAGCGACATTCCAATCTCTCGACCACTCGCTACTTTATACCTGCCGTTTTACGTATATACTCTAACGTTTTTGCTTCCCATAATCCAATACTATATGCTACAGTGACTATCTCTTTAAACTCCTCTTGATTGGCGACTCCGGCGTAGGAAAATCGTGCTTGTTGCTTCGATTCGCGGATGATACGTATACGGAGAGTTATATCAGTACTATTGGTGTCGATTTTGTAAGTAAGAAAACATTAAAACTTTGAGCAAGAGAGGGAGGGGGCGGGTATGGGGAGATTAACGTGTTTTAAATGTTTCGCTTTTGAAAAATTGAAGACGTCGTATCGTGTATATCGATTTATTAATATTCTTGTCTTTGAATTCTAGAAAATTCGTACGATCGAACTGGAGGGCAAGACTGTAAAACTACAGATCGTAAGTGGCAATTATTGACATTATTTTTATGTTGCATATTATAATTGTTGGTATACATTCTATACCGTTCTTTTTTCCGTATCCAATATTAATCTGTCCTTATCTACTGCTGCATATTCTTAGTGGGATACCGCAGGACAAGAACGCTTCCGCACGATTACTTCTTCCTACTATCGCGGTGCCCATGGAATTATTGTAGTTTACGACGTGACCGACCAAGACACATTCGCTAATGTTAAACAATGGCTGCAAGAAATCGATCGTTATGCTTGTGAGGGTGTTAATAAGCTGTTGGTCGGAAATAAGAGCGATTTGGCCAGCAAGAAAGTGGTCGAATATGCCGCCGCCAAGGTTCGTGTTGTGAATTAGAATTTCCGAATAATCGCGAGATCATAGAATTGGGTGTTTGTTTTTTTTCTTTAGAATATCGCCCTCGAGAACCCTTGCGACAAACTTAACTTTTTTTTTCTCTCTCTCTTCAACTAGGAATATGCGGATCAATTGAATATCCCATTCTTGGAAACATCTGCTAAGAATGCGACTAATGTCGAACAAGCATTCTTGACGATGGCTAAGCAAATTAAAGACAGGTAGGTATTGTTTGAAGGGTGGGGTTGTGATACGTCTTTGAAAGGGGGAGGGGCTAAAATTTTTAATGGTGAATGTGCGCGCGCACTGAACAAGCGTTGGAATGTTATATGCTTGACGACTCCGCTTACAACATACGACATCCGCGCGGCGTCTCCTCCATTCACACTTGCTAACTGACTTTTCTCATGACTTATTGTATAGAATGGGCACGACAAACATCCAACCAGGCTCGCAGAAACAATCTGTCAAAGTTGGGCCTGGGGCATCTGTAGCTCAACAGCAAAGCGGCAGTTGCTGTTAAGAATTGTTTAATACATTTAATAATAATAATAAACATACGCAAGAGAAAAACTTTGAATAGCTTGATGTGCGTATATATGATGCAGATAGTTCTTTTTATGACAGACATCAAGAGCTTGGGTGATTTTAGAGCAAAGGGAGCTTGTTGAGTTGGTGATAGAGTGAAATGTGTTGGGTTTATTTTGGAAGTATACATGGGTGAGTGTAGGATTGGTTATCAGGGAGGGGAGGGAAGTATTTGTTCCATAAGATAGCTGTTACGTAGTGTGATCCTTATAATTAGAGTGTTATTTTTTGTTTCACTTGGCAAAGTTGTCCTTTGTTTTGTTTGTTAGATACAAAAGAAAGAGACAAAGAATTAGAAACTTTTACTTCGAAATTTCTCTTTTATGAGGCCTTTGGTCGGATATCTTATTTCTAAATTTCAATTATTATTTTCTTTTCTGTGCTATCACAATTATTAGAGTTTTCTATCACTCGATAATGTTCATCTTTCTTAATATATTCTGAACACTATTTCACATAATGTCAGGGGGTTGCTATAAAGACATATCATTGGGTTAGTGTCTCCTGTTTAGAAATTACTTGATGCTCATAGGAAAAGTTATGTTTACTATGGATATTTGAATCAGTTTTTTGCTTTATTATTATTGTTGTTATTTTCTTAGCCACAGATTTTTGCTTTTAGTATTTTTTTTTTATCGTGTCATGTTACTTCTTTTTACTGCATTTTTTGAATATATTTCTACTTAGTAATAACGTGAATTACAGTGGATAATGGCCGTGTGATATTGGAAATATTTTTATATTGCCGACTACACAAAAAATAATAGTTTAGCGATTACAGTTCTACAATTCGTAGAGTAAGCATTGATTATTGCGGATTTGATTGCCCAAATTCATTTCATTCCGTCGCTAGCTCCAAGCCTCATGATTAACACATGTCTTTCAGGCTTAGTTTCCAATTGTGCCAAGCCATGGGAATTCTCTTGTTCTACCTTGCTGGCTGGAGTAGTAAAACTTAACAAATGTTTCTTGATATCCAAACTAGCGTGCAGATATTATGCGCATTGAAGCAATGGAATTTAGCGGAGTAGACCGAGTCGCACGATACGTTCATTTAATACCACAATTGGAAAACATGGCAGCAATTGCAGTAGTAAGCTTCTTGATAGATGGTAACCGCTATTAATATACTTGAAGAAAAGCAAATTGGATGAGAATGGCCTTTCTTTACTGGTAAGCTCAAACAAAAAGTTTCGTTAATACAGATGGTAGCATTACTGTAATTGCTGTTATCAAAGAAATGACGTAATTACCCGAGAATGTAGGTTTATGTTATGCAACATTTTATTTAGAAATCCGATAAGGCATCTAATGTGGACACTTGTAGAAGAGCTGTTGTAATCCTCACATTCGGTCTTATAACCGATATTGACTTCATGAAGGCCGATCGCTTGACTGTTCGGTGGAAACAATTAAATGTATAGAACATTCTGCTTTGTCGATTATGTATTGACGATACACAAGGTTTCTGCCAATAATAATAAGAGCCGATAAATAATGACGTTCGAGAGTATCTTGCGCGCGAATGTTGCTTCATCTGTGAGTTCGTATATGGATAGTATGCAGTATAAAAACGAACAATTTGCTGACTGGATAAATTACTCGTAAAATAAAAAATCTTTTCTAAGTAATAAACATTTATTAAAAGACTCCTGCGTGGAACAAAGTTATCATTAAATTAAAATCATCTGAGAAAAGAGTTTACATTTAACTCTAAAGCTAATAACTAGTTTTTTGGTTACTTTTTTTTTTTTCCTTTCGCGATTAACTTCAGGGTAACTATTATCGCCTAACGGGGTTAGGGTGAATTGTTGTTCGGTGTCATAATTGGAATGATGAAGGAATAAGATCGTACAGATTTTAACGTATTGGTTGTGATGCGCCTATCGTACAGTAATTCAAGATGTACGGATATTTTCTTGTGGGATAAAAAGTTGATTGGAAACAACAACAAAAAAGTCGCAACATACGATATCACGTGTAAAAAGCGATTTAAAGTTAATCATGTGACCATATTATTATTATCCTAAACTGGTACTGCACCTCGCGACAGTTGCTTTTTCACGCATTCCCAACCCCACACTTTTGACATACAAATAATAAACAATCGTTCAAGTAAAGTTTACGTCAGATGCAGCATTCCCATTCGTCCCTACTTTTATTAAGTGAATAGCATTTTGGGAATCGAGATAACATGAAGACATTTCTTTGCTTGTATGTATGGTCGAGTCTTTATATATTATGCGTCCCTCCCTGTTTATATACACACATGCGTCACACACAAGCACGCTCCGCTACATGGCTGTCAATATTGGGAACGTTCTTTGACAGGATAGCCTTTGATGGTGAAACGTAGTACACCAACTGCTTGAATATGTCCTTTATTGACATCATTCGATCTATCTCGATAGCTGTGCCTAATAAAGGGCACACCGAATCAATCTATTCTCGAACGGCTTTGGGGACGCACCTTAGCTGTGCTTAATAAAAGAACATACTCAATCTATTCTCGATGGACACGGCTACGAGACAAGTAAAACTTCTCCGTATCGGGAATATCATATCGTTCCTGCTTGCTTCTGGCATTCATCTTGCTGCGATACTCGTCTTATCACCGAATATTGGTACTATCATCGACGACAATTTCTGTTTTTTCACTCCGGACAAATCGTTTATATATGTATTCTGGGGGTTATATTATCTGTTGGCATTTGGATTCGTTTTCTATGCTCAGTTGATCGATGAAGAATATGCACAAAAAATTGTAAAGGGAGTAATTGGACCGTGGTTTATTGTTTCTAACCTCGTTTTGGTTGGTTGGGTCCGATTTTTGGTAAGTCTGAGACAGCGGAGGAGCTTACTTAGCAAGGAATGCGGGAGAGAGATCAATCGAGGGTTGAGAAATATATTTATAATTGTAAATTAATATTACCATCTTCCTATCCTTGTTTGGGCATCTCTTTACAATTAGCTCGCAGAAAACTTTGACTGGGCTTTTATTCTCTCGATCATTAACTCTGTTATTCTAGCCTACGTCCATCGCAAACTCTTCCGCTTCTTCCCCCTATACAGTCTTCCTACCCACTATCGCATTGCCAACATCTGGTTGATTTTTGTTCCATTCTCCATGCTCGTTGCGAATTGGTTCTATTTCGCAATATACACTGGATTCCAAACAGTTGACTTCGATGGTGATATGGATAGTTACGTGGCTACGGTGATTCTGTTGATTTATACGATTATAGGTTGGGGATGGATCGTATTTGGCTGGTTTACTCGAAGAAATAGAGATGGATTTTTTGGCATTTCGGTTGCTTGGTGAGTCTTTGGGAAGAATAATTGTTTTGCTTCAGTATTATACCAACTGTTTTCTGTAAATTGATCTACGATTACTGAAAAGTTTATCTGACCAATACCATGCCTTACTTTAATAGGCTGCTTTCTGCTGTTGCTTCTGAACAGCGAGATGTCTTCCTTTTCGCCGCACTAGCAGGGATCCTCTCGATCTCATTGTTTGGAGCTATTTTCATTGTCTTCCTTAGGGATGGAGGGTCGTTCACTCAGGCATTATATTCTAATCAGGACTCCACTGCCGAAGAAAGGGAGCCATTGAGTGAATCATGAGTAGAAAGAGCTATTTGTGAGGTTGGGATCTGTTAGAAGTAGAACTTGAACAGTAGTATAATAGGTTTGTCTGGATAAGTGTCATGTAAACTAGCAAGCAATTTGTTAAAATTGCTTGCTACAAATGAAGCGAAGATCGTATCAAGACCCTTCATTCACAATAATTTTCAAGTAAAGAAGCCCACAAGCTACAACGGAAGACTATATTGTCGCAGTTAAGGTAAATTTCTGGGAAGCTATTTGGTAGTGAATTGCAACAGGCGTTGAAGGTATAAAGAAGAAATAGCAAATCTGCGCAGGGAATTTCATTTGCCTTCTTTTTTTTAAAAAATAAGAAATAAATATACATTTTCTTGTATCTTGCCTTCAGAAGAAATAGAATTGCAGAGGTAGGCGTCTTCTTTCTTGAATATCTACCATTTGAGCATAACCTTCAAAGGATTCTTCAAAGATTCTGTTAATTCCAAATACCTTATTAATATTATGTTGTATTCTATATATATAAATGTAAAAATCTATTTTTCGACACTAAACACGCCTTGATTTTGATATTTGATCAAAAAAAAATTGAGGGGTGGTCAGTGACTTTTGAGTAGGTAGTGTATTTCATTAGATGAAAAAGGTATATTTTTAAAAAATATTACAACTCTTATTGTCATAATGACAGACATTCATACCTTCATTATCATCGCTGTTTTCGATTGGTAATGGATTTAGCTGCTTCCCTTGATAGCTGATATTTCTGAGGTCACATTGTTGAGTGTTGTGTGCATATGACTGACTGTCTATTGATAAGTAGCGGAAGATCGTCATAGTAATAGTCAGTAACACATGTATGGTGTAACCCGCATGGCAACTTCAAAGATGACGCATGTGTTTTCAACTTTCAGTCTTGCTGATTTCTACACCCCCCTATCAAAAGTATTGTTACGGTCGGATGTCTGGGGTTTGGGAGAGCGATTAATCTTTCGCGTAAGGGTGTTCTTCCGACCGGGGGGTGTTACAGATTAGCTTCGTGCTACCGCCCTTATTACGGTAGTTGTTCAATTAAGACTGAATTCTAATCTACAAGTGACCTAATTTAATAATTAAAAATACGCGCTTCCTAACTCCCTATTCGAGCTTAATTACAAATAAGGGTACCTACGATAGAATAACAACAACAATTATTCTACTGCAGAATCGAAGGGGAATAAATTTTTATTTAATAATTAAACAGGGCCATCTTCGATTTGGTGTTTCGACGTCGAGTCTGCCACTTGTCTCTAATATATAAATAAGTAAACAATGATCGTTTTCAATAATTAATTATAAGCTCTCGTTTCTCAATTAAGAGTAATAGATCAGCGGACAACTTGTACAATTTGGTAGAGCCGTTTATTAGTGTGTCCGGTCAAATAATTAATATTTCATCGATAAAAGAGGAATCGTTTATTTGATTATTATTTTCGTGGAATGATACTATTATTATAACAATAACATTTAACAACATGATAATTCGACGATGGGAGGGTCGCTTATATACCTTTAGCGACACTCAAAAATCGAAACGGAGTTAAAATAATTAAACAATCGTAATTTCTATGAAGAACTAATCACATTCTAAGTTAGCTAATTGCGTTTGTGCTGACACGCAAAAATCGAAACATTTTCTGCGCCTGACACTCAAAATTCGACGACACTGAAAATGCGCGATGCCATACTACCATTCTAAAATTAACGTCGATCATGGGATTTTGTTTGAAAGATTTACCATGTGACTCACTTCATTGCCATAACAGTATTCATCACTTTTGATGATTGAAAATCAAGTTTTATCAGAAACTGTATTAACAACTTTTGATAAAATTTATATTTTTATTATGAACTTTTTATTTATAATGCTAATACATCATGGGATTGCCTTCACTATTAATTGCAGCTTTAACTCTTTTACTAAATTCCCTAAAACATTCCCTCAATTTTCAACCACTCCTCCAAAACTGATGCTAATTCTCTCTTATTTTTTGGTATGGGTTTGTTTTCATGCAATTTCTTCCAAGATGATCCCACAAATACTCAATTGGATTGAGATCTGAGCTCTGAGCAGACCATGGAAGAGAATATATCAAACTTTTCTCTTTCCAAGCAAGTACTGAGTTAGCCCTATGAACAAAAGCATTATCATCTTGAAAGGCATAAGTTTTTTTATCTATACGTGTATCAAGACTTTTAATGAAAGGGATTAAATAATCTTCTAAAAGTTTTTTATAGGCTTGGCCTGTAATGTTTCCTTCTAATACTACCAATGGACCAAGTTGATTTTTAACAAAATAAAAACAGCCGACCTGTACCATTACTCTTTACCATAGGTCAATACCTCAAAACTGGTCATAGTTGTATATACTTCGATAAGTGATAAAAGGGTTCCTCCTATTGGTTAAGAACATTGTGTAACAGTAATGACGATTTTTATCTATTACCGGTTTCAAATAAGAAATGACTTTAGCATAGATTGTTCCTTAGTATTAAAAATAAGAGACTCACAAAATCAAATAAGGAAGAAGCAAATTAATTCAATGCTCTAGATAGTTTTTTTACAAATTAATTCGGTTAAGTCACATGTTCTCGATAAGTCGGTCAAAATAGCTCCCAGCCCACCTGGGCCGACTTATCGAGGTTGACTGTGTATTATGAAATACATTGACATAAGATACAGTCAACCCTCTCTATAGTCACGCTGTCGGGAGCAATACAACTTTTGTTAAAAATGTGCTTATAAAGAGGTTGTGCTATATAGAGGGGTTTTCCTATAAGTTCAATAGTAATTGGTTCTCAAATATGGTGTGCTTATAGAGGGGGTGAATATAAAGAGGGTTGACGTATTTGCTAAAATAGTAAAAATTTTAATCACATTTTCCAAATTAAGCGAAGATGACATAAATGCCACAATAATACAATAAATAATTGTAATCAAGATAGTGAGGAGAGTCCTGTTATTAGCGCTAGCACAGTAATCGCTAGCTTGGAAATAGTACGTGCCTTTCTTTTACAACAGGACAATGCGGAAAAATATATAACCTCTTTACAAAATTTTGAGAAGCTTGCTGAAGTCAGGAAAACAAACTCAATGCGTCAAACTAACATTGACACATATTTTCTTAAAGTGTAGTCTGACTTCGATGTGATAGTATAATTTTGATAATAAGTAATAAAGAGAAAGTACTAGTCACTATTCTGTGTACCAGTTTTCGGGTTTTCTATTCGTTGTTATATAAGTGCACACCTCCCTAACAAACGCAAGTCCCGACTTATAGAGGTGTCATTGTTACAATAATCGAGTATTTATCCGCCGCTTTTACTGTGATCTTAAATGTTTATTATTGGTCATAATAATAAATCAAAAAAATCATGCATCACGGAATAACGCGGTGATAAATACCCATAAAAAAATTTTTATGCTTTCACACTCGTTAAAAAAGGCAGTATACAGTGGAATCTGTCTATAATCACACTGTTTGACAACATAGCAAGTTTTGAAGAAATGGAGACTACAGACAGAGTTTTCATATGATGTATTATATTGATTATCGGAAATAACGTTAGCAACTCCAACTCCAACAACAACTCCAACAACAACTCCAACAACAACAGCAAAAGACGCGTCAGGTAACTTTCCACTATCACCGCCATCTAATACCAATACACTGCTTCTTAATACACTAATAATAATGAAGACAAAGCAATGTTATTATTATGAAGATACAACAAGGTAGTAGAAGTTCTCTAAAAGAACCACTGGACATATCATCTTTTTCGCTACAATGTACAACGACGCGGAGAAACTGTAGGACAATACGCGAACTATATGGAACGCGTTTGGAATGCTACAGGAGTATACATACCTGACGAAAGACATCAGCGAGCCTGGATTCGAATATTTCTTGAATACACCCTGTCAAGTTTGGGATGCCGTCGGACATTTATCATTACGCAGCAGGAATCGATGCCACAACCGCCTACCATAAAGTGTGGGAAGATAACCATTTGGGTTTAAACAAGGCGACTCTAATGCTAACGAGAAGTTTTCAGAAACTATTAAATCACAAGGCACAGGAGAGGAAAAGGAAAATAGCCACCCACTTTTGTCTCCGTATTTCGCCTCTCCAACACTACAGCTACCCATGGAACTGCGTCTCTGCTATAGCCAGCTTGTGGCTTGCTAATCAATAATTTTTGGATGAAGCATGAAAGTATGAAGGTTAACAGCACATTTTTATCTTGTGACGGAGTACAAATCGGTTGTATTAGTAAGGGCAGAAATGCAGGCAGTCCGGCGGAAAGCCCATCCTACCTGAGTGTCCGCGAGCTCCTCCTACTCATAAAGTCTAATAACACCCAGTGTTATCCAGATCAGGTTTCAACTGGAACCAGGTTTGCCGCATATCCTGTGATCGAAGAAGCTCTTTATACGTAGTTAGAACACGCAAATCAAGGTTCCCAAGTCATATCTGGTCATATTTTGCAAAAAAAAAAAAACAACCCGAAAGCTTTTGCAACTCTGGCAAATATCAACGACACCTTAGATTCTTTTCTAAGATAGTATAGTTATCTGAACAATTGTCATACTGTATATAATAAAGAAATTTTCGCTTGATATAATATGAACCTTCCGACGACTTCATTTTATCGAGAGCCACTGTATATCATGTTGCAATACTTAATTTTATACCTTCATTAACATTTCAAGATTGTACGGTATATGCCTATGTTGCACTTGGATAAGTAAGATTGTGGTTTAAAAATGTTTGTAAAATGTATTTAGACTCACTATCTTCCTTAGGTTATACGGAAGTAAGGATCAAGGGAAATAGAAATAAATATCGTTGTTGCTCTGTTTCATATCGATTTCCATACTAAGTCTAATAACCAACAACAATCGCCCCTGTTTTTTCATTATTTACATGTAAGCTCTTACATTTGTGCAACAATTCTATACTGTTTCCAAGACATTCTTTCATATGAAGTTTATGTATCAAGTGACCATGCAAAGGAAATGGTAGGTGGTGGTGTCATTGTACCACTGTTAACTATATTTTGTACAAACTCATCTTCTGTTGAATTCATTTACAACCTCCATACAATTCATTATCATTTTCTGGCATCAAAAAGCAAGACAGTGCATGTTATTAATGTGTATATGTAACATTAAAGAAAACAAACTAATAAAATTCACACTTTGGCTCTCCAAACATCTGCTAGGAACTTGATTAAATCTTTTATCTTTTTTAAGTTTGTCAGAATTCATAAAGTTCTCCTCTTTTGAGAATTGATGCATATCCTTTTGGAGCTGACAAATTGACTTATTTGTAATTTGAGACCTGCAAAAAAATTTTTTATTTCCTCAGTTAAGCTCTCCAATAACTTCTTGTAAATGTAAATTTCAGCTTACCTGAATGTTGAAGTCTAATAATCTGTAATTGTCTTTGTCCAATTTCACCAAATGAGCTAAATAAACATCATGCATTGTCTTGCCAAGTTTAAATCCATCTTTGAACCATTCTGTAGAATTAATCTGAACAAACAAACTCTTCACTTCTATCACCCCATACTCTATATTATCATAATATGTTCAAAAAATCCCATCAAGTATATGTCCTACCTTTGCTTTTTCAGTCCAAGCTCACTTTTGATTCTTTCTTTTCATTACAGAAATACTTGACAACTCCTTCTTGTAAATGCAATGATGCCATTAGAAACTCAATTTAGTTATAATTGCAATATTAATATGAAGTTATATACCTAACAGTTTGTAATCCTTGAACATTACTAAAAGCACAGTCAATAACAACTGACCAACCCTCCAAGTGTTTCATTTTGAGTGCTTTATCAGGATATTCATAAAGCATGATGATGAGGCTATTTTTACATAAGGATTTTCTGACCAAGTTAAGGATAAATAAGCATAAGAAACACTTACAGGTTTCTCAACACAAGCTCTGCCCATTCAGCATCAAAATGGCTTTCCTGATCAAATGGCTCGTTTTTGTCCCAATACGAAGTTGACTCTATAACTTTCCTCAGGTCAGCAGTAGTTTGGACCTAATAAACAAATAAGAAATCAATTTGTTGTTGAGCAAACCCTGTTTAGCATAACAAAGAGGGAAGAAAGTTACCCTAATGCTTACATTTCTAAATCTTTGATAGTGATCTAGCAAAGTTTTCATCAACTAAAGGCTGCTTAAAGACCACCTTTTTAATTTCACACCAATCTTCATCACTGAACAACCTTTTGGTTTCCAAGTCACTCAAGTCAATAGTCCAAGATTGTATGAGGGATTCAGTCGACAATGTTTTTTCCCTTATGATAGAGTACATCTTCGACACATGTTCCTGAAGATAATGTCCATTTTTTGGAATTATTCATTCCTGTATAGTACTCGATAAAATACTTCAGCTTTGATGATTGGAGTAATAATGATGCGGGCTTTGCACCATCGGTATCGCTGGAGAATACGAAAATGGTGAGCCTAAAAATCAACGGGTTGCAGGCTGATTGCCTTCTTGAATATATACAGTCAACTGCCTATAATTCGACCGCTCGCGTTCCGAGGTTATCGATCGAATTAACGTACAAGTCGAATTATCGTCTGTTAATTACAATAGAAATAATAATAAATGTCAAAAATGTTCTGTAACCAGCGGTCGAATTAACGTATAAATCGAATTAAAGAAGGTCGAATTGACTGTAGTGATTATCATACAGTATAGTCTGAACCTGAATAGTCAGATATTGAAGAAATGGAAGAGATAGATTCAGAATCGGACTAAATATTATGCTCATTAGTGATACTCAAAACCTTGATAACACATTTCTTTGCAAACGCAAACTACATACATCGTCATTCCCCACGTTGTCGACTTCCGATATAAGCCAGTCGGTTGGTTTTTGGAGAAATTGTTAATCACATCATCCGATCCCTACAAGGTGATATACCAAACAAATTCGATAAATTGGTCATACATTCCATCAAAAGAAGCATTTCAAAATGAATTAATGGATGAAAAGAAATACTCCTAGTTAAAGACACATACAGGCTTTTGTTTTTCTCCCCTTTCGGTTGATTGTTCGCGATTTTCGTAAGATCGTTTCTGTCCCTGAATTTTAGCACCAGTACAACAGATTTGTACTCCGTCACAAGATAAAAACGTGCTGTTAACCTTCACACTTTCATGACAAATATATTAATATCTCCAAACACCCCCCCCCTTGCAAATTAGCAAGCCACAAGCTGGCTATAGCGGAGACGTAGTTCCATGGGTAGCTGTAGTATTGGAGAGGCGAAATATGGAGACGAAAGTGGTGGCTACTGAATGTGGCTACTAATCTACATTTATTATAATTATAGCTTACGAAAATTATACCGACCTCAAATTGTTTTTCGAGTCGTGTTGCATTTTCCAGTGACACACTTGCTGTCGACTAAACAGAGGATTTTCCGACGACGCGTGTTTGATATTTTGGAAAAAAATGTGTCACATGTCGTTGCACGTGATGCTTTAGGTCATAATAACAACCGAAATGTGTAATTTATCTGAAGCAAATATTTTTCTCAATCAGAACTTCTCTTTTCACTTTCACCATACGAAACCTCTTTTAAACGTTCATAAAGTTACACAGCATGTGATTCATGAAACAGTATTGAAGTCGATAATACGGAAAATACTCGACAGGTTTGTCAATTATGCATCTGTTCGGGTGAAAAAATTATTGTTAAAGTTTATCGATAATGTTTACCGCCATTTACTGATTAATTATTAGTTAGTTTATTGTTATTTAGTTTATGATGATTTTTACATAGTTCATCAATAATATAAGTTATCTGCTATTAAAGAGGTTTTTTTTTATTTTGTAAAGTTTATGCAAAATTTTTAATGTTTCATTATACGTGTTATTTGTTCATTGATAGTATTTACTTATTTAACTATTTTATAGATTTTTTCCTGGAATCTTTTACCAGATGTTTTAAAACCGGTTCTTCCTCGTGATTATCCAAAGATTCGATATTCTATCACCATACCGAACGCAAGAGAACTTTGAAGTTGAAAATTTCGATTGTAAATGTGTGTAGCAAAGAAGAAGGGTTGGCAGCATTTGAATCTTATTCAAAAACTACAATGCCGCAACAAGAAGGTTTTAAAATAACAGGATACTTTTTAGGGTCATCGGCATAACCTGTCACACATTTCGGTAGTGCGATCTTGATATCAGCGAGCGAGGTACGTGTAATTGGGAATATCAACGGGGTATGATATACAGTATGTGCGGGAATTATATATGGGGAAATCCGTTCTGTTACTACTGTTGCTAATAGAGAGAGGTTGATATTAACGGAGTGGATATTAGAGAGGTTTCACTGTATTAGTATTAATGGTTTTCGGATAATATTTCGAAGATGATAAATCTCGAAAACGTGATCGTTCAAAATCACCTAAAAGTTAGCAATGGATAAGTTGTGTTACTGCTATAAAGCTCGGACGATTGGTATCTTGCTTGCTCGTTCCAGAGATAATTCACTACAGAAGAGCAAAGTCTTCCGAGTTATAGCATTATAAAATTCATATAGCTCGGATTTGAGAAGTCAAACCGACTTGATAACATTATTATCATTAATTAGTATTAGTATTAGTATTAGTATTATAATTAGTGTTGTCAAATTACCTAAATGAATATCATGCACGTGATCAACATTACTATTACCTCACACAAGTATTTAATCGTTATCCATCTTGTAACTTTACTGAAACTCTCGCAAAAGCTGACACACAGTTAAAAGCATAAACATAAAACACCATAAAACGCATAAAACAACGCACACTGGTGGCTCAAGCAACAAGCGTGCCAAGCGAACGTCTCCGACATCATGCGGACGAACATCTTTCTTTTCTTCCTTCACACTTTGCCAATGGCGCAGCAATACGACTCCTTGTGCGGAAGCGGACTCAACCAGTGGAACTCCGACATCATGCGGATGAACAAGTCGTTGACGCTTTTGAAGAACTCCACCAAGGGCGTCTTTGAAGAACTCCGTCTTAAAGGCGCCTTTGAAGAACTCCGCAAGGCGTCTTTGAAGACTCCGCCAAGGGCGTCTTTGAAGAACTCCGTCTTAAAGGCGCCTTTGAAGACTCCGCCAAGGGCGTCTTTGAAGAACTCCGTCTTGAGGGCGTCTTTGAAGAACTCCGTCTTAAGGGCGTCTTGAAGAACTCCGTCTTAAGGGCGCCTTTAAAGAACTCCGCCAAGGGCGTCTTTGAAGAACTCCGTCTTAAGGGCGTCTTGAAGAACTTCGTCTTAAAGGCGCCTTTGAAGACTCCGCCAAGGGCGTCTTTGGAGAACTCCGTCTTAAAGGCGCCTTTGAAGACTCCGCCAAGGGCGTCTTTGAAGAACTCCGTCTTAAGGGCGTCTTGAAGAACTCCGTCTTAAGGGCACCTTTAAAGAACTCCGCCAAGGGCGTCTTTGAAGAACTCCGTCTTAAGGGCTGGAGAAGGCGGTCGAAACTCAAGGCGGTCTCTCACTTCTACAACAATGGCACAGCAACATATCATACGGATGAACAACTTTCTCCCTTCGGGAAAGCCAAGTCGTTGACGCTTTTGAAGAACTCACTTCTACAACAATGGCGCGCAGCAATACGACTCCTTACATCACGCGGATGAACAACTTTCTTTGCTTCCTTCATGTAAATAAACTTTTGTATCTGAATGACAAATAAATTTATTCAAACTGAATATGAAGTTTCGTTTCATAATTGTTTTGATTGCTTCATATTAATAAGGCCAAATCGTTATGTTCTCAAATTCGGAGGAGAGCTAAAATTTACTGGTTCAAAAATAACAATCAATCGAGAGTTCCGAATTCGAATAATATTTTAGATCTATGAATGAGTATATAACATTAGTAGCAGCTACAATCGTAAAAGTACGTTCTTGTGATCCTGTAAATGGATATACGGTATATTGATATTAGTAAAGTAACACCCGAATACTGAACTGAGTCCACAACGTATAGTCCCAAATTCCATTACTGTTTTTGGTGGCCCGAAGCTTATTGTCGAAATTTACCATCTCGAAATTCTAGTATTGTTGCACTTTGTTGTCGCTCATCAGCAGTCTCTGTCTTCGTCGTCCTTTAATGTACTATTACTACTGCCAACTAACGATTCAATATCAACTTCATTCGACACCAAGCTGTATCTCTTTTATCATCAATGTCTAAGAATCAGTTGACTCTTATTCCTCGACATCATGATAATGATAAGACAAGGTTCGCGCTTACATAAACATCTATATTTTTGCAATACCAACTGTGTGTCAAAGCGATGAAGGAATGACGGAATGTTAGAAACATACCAACAGAATAGTCTCAGAGTTCGCATTTCCACACCCCATATATATGCTTACAAAATCTTCCGTTCCTCATTATTATCTCTCGAAAACGGTTCCTGTAATGAACAAAATAGAAACTGTTAGCTGTAAAAAAAGTTTCTTCTGAGTCTCCGCAAAAATCGTAAGATTTATCAAAAGGCGTCGTGCATGACTACTACACTCACTGGGTAAGAGATCTGTCTACGAAAAAACGGCGGCGACATTTCTGAGGTGTAATAAGCCTCAAAGGTACTTATTGATTGTAAAATTTTAGTACAGAATTCTATCACCATTTTTTTCAATGATCAATTCACATCTATTTTTCATAGACCGCAAAAATAATTACTGTTTCAAAAGGAATTGCATCCCATTCCTCAATTAAAAATGCTTTAATTCCTCAATATCTGGTTTTCGACTTATAGAATTAAGGTTGGGACTATTTGCTGCTCAGTCAATTGCCTTAATTCTATTTTGGGCAATAAATTCTTTTGCTACTTGAAATGTGTGCTTTGGGTTATTTACTATCCTATGTAAATGCATTATTAACACACATATTGTGGTAGGATGTTAACATAAATGACCCGTTTATTATTTGGTAAAGCAAAATAAGGTCTTATTTATTTTGCACAAAACAATATTAATTTATGTGACTATATTGTGACGGGTGTCGTGCCGACTATCATGGGAGAGCAGGTAATAATCAACACTAGGAATTCCACGGAGCGTGGCTTCTCTTACTCTAGTGGGGTGCAGTTAGTGACCTTCGTTCAATAAAGGCTTTGCACTTACGATAATCTTCGCGTCGTGGAGTGACACAAATCCTCTATATATTAATTGTCCTCGAGTCAATCTCTCGGTTACGATCGTGGGATTAATTCGATGGGGTACACTAATATTTCAATTATAATGATGCGCATCTACATAACAATTAATTATCATAATTTGCCACTCAAATTTCGCGGGACAATCGGCGATTATTCTTCATCGATATAAATGTTGCTCATGCAGCAATGTGTGTTATCACAATCAAGAATGACATTTTTGCATCGTTTTTCTGCTCTTAATTTTTGAAGACGTTTGTTATCTCTAATGACTATTCCTATGCTTTTTTCTAGTTCATGTGTTATACTATATAAGGTTTTTGTTGACTCTTGCATTAATATTTTTTGTCCATTGTCAAATTTATTAATCTACCATCTGACTGTCACAATTGAATGTGTGTTATAATGAGACTTTATTGAATAATATCTTTACTTCAATTCACATGAATATAGTAAAAGAGTTGACTAATTAGTAACAAATAAATCTATTCGACTGTGCGTTTGCTTTGCAATATTATGCAATTCTACCCTTCTCTAATATAAAGGCTTTAAGTTTATTGTAACTCATTTCTATGTTCCCCTGTTGAAAAGGAAGTTGAATGCCGTTTCAAGCGTCTTTAGTAAAGACGGTAGGAAATTTTCACTATGTCTCTGCCATATACACGACCGAAATCGTATGATTCTCATCTGCTACATACAGCCAACCGCTTCTAATTTTAGAACACGTAGAAAAGCGATTAATAGCCTATGCAAAACGGTATAACGCGATTTTACTATTAAATTTCGTTATAACAAGGGGGAAGCAATATTTACTTTGTCAAAACGAAAATTCAGGTTGACTGTAGTCAATTGTTCGCGTTGTCTGGTTTTGTTGCAGTTCTACCCCAATTCTTATTTGCAACATTTTCGGATAAATTTAATCTTTGTGCCAGGCAGAATTGCCATTAAAAATGAGCTATAGAGAATAATTTGCCAATTAACATGATTTTCACAATTTACAGTCGAACCTCGGAATTCTGGCTCCCCCGTTTTTTAAATAGTAAAATCTCGTTATACTTACCGAAGTTCGATGCAGGATTTTTACATACAGTATTATCACGTGATAAAAATGTCATACGATTTTGTATCATACGATTATACGATTTTTTTGGTCATACGATTAAAGTATGATTTTAGCCGTCATATTTGTGTGCAATATTTTTGATCGTATGATTTCAGCCGTATTTCGTATCTATTGTTTTTTTCATGTATTATTGTTTGTAAATTGAAGTAAAGATATTATTCACATAAGTCTCATTATAACGAATATTGCTTGACCCGTCGTTATATAGAGGTGCCTCACTATACCGAATGTCTCGTTATATCGAATCATGGATGCCCCCCCCCCCCGACACAACGAGATTCAACTGTATATTTATGACAAATAATAAACATGTCGACATGTTATTATTACAGCCGGATTTTTAAGTCTATCACTTTATACATCAGTATTAATTTAGACTATACTATCAAAAGATGTCTATGTAAAGTATAAAAATTTTGCAATCGCATTACCAGACGCTCAAGAATTTTATACCCGGGTATAAGTTATGGTATTCTTCTTCTAACTTGCCAATAAAAACTGCGAATTAAAATTTAACACTATAAGATGCACAAACTTTATGACAGAAATCTACGATTATTCCCAAATATTATCATCTCCGACACATCTTATGCGAGTTATAGAATCCACGAGGCCATATACTAATTCAAGACATGAGACACCGGGAGACATAAAAAAAGTTACCTGTAATCACAATCGAATTTTAACGTTAATTCGAAGTTCTTACTTGATGGAATTTATCGGCAGCCAATAAAATTTTAGAAGATATTGTATGTATCCACTATCACTACCTACGATTACCCTGGGTACAAAGGGAATCCCCCGGGTACATGTAGGTGAAATACGGTACTTGCATCTACGATACGCAGCGAAGAGTTAAAACAATAACATTGTCATAGGCTAACAATATTCCTAAATGATTCGGAGTTAGCTTTCGGTTCAGTAAATTATCCAGCAATAATAGTTTTCTCAAGAAAAATACATTTTTGTCTATTACTATGAAAAAATAGATGTAAAATATTATATGGAAATACACGACTACATTGTGAGTGCTAAAAAATAATGGCAATTGAATTCCTGATAATAGTGCATAAATAAAAACTACTGGTCAAGACTACTGGTTTCAAGCTTTCAAAGATAATATATTATGCGACATGCTGTGCTGAAATGAGCAAGTTAAAAAAAAAAAAAAAAAAACTTTTTGCAAATTCCTTGTATTAGTAAGAATATTGCTACCTTAATATCAAGCGACAATGAAACCCGCATCCACGATTGTAACTTTCTGCTTTCGATAATACGGTTGGCGATTCGAACGGTGAACATGTGAGTAAAAACATCGTCCATCGAACACAAGCGTTAGATAAAAACCGCGTTTCATTATGGAGATCGTGAAAATCATTGCTCATCCAAACAAATTATTACTGCTTTGAGAAACAAGCCTTGTCATTGACACGCTACTAGTAATATTTTTTCACTTTGTCTGGTTTAATGACCAGTATAGAACATCTTGTTGTGCCATATATTCATTAGATAGCTACACATCCACATATCCGTTCTATAATCTTCTATGCCCAATTATCTCAAATTAAGTAAGTCTGCGTTTTTTCAGTTCTTGAAAGCTCATGATATACTTTTCTTCCCAGAAGTGGTGACAAGCCGATTTGCTATACAAGTCTTCGGCAGGCCTTGAAATTTACCAGTAAATTAAAAGGCATTACCGTAGCTGTAGTTCGATGAAGTGTAAAGCGTCATGAAGCTTATATATTTACATGTGTAAACTATTACTATTCATCGAGTTTGGCATATTTTTTTTTCATATCAACACTAAGCTACTTGTATAGTATATACAATTTTCGAATAAAAAATTTTTCATATGCTTGGTCTAAAATAAATTCGCTTGTATGACTAATCAATTAGACTACGGCAACTCCGGTGAGACTTTTTTGTTGGCGATCGACGTTAATTTCTTGCTTGTGGAATGAAAGCGCATGAGTAAATGATGGTTGACTAGCTCAAGAAAGGCATACCCCATCTGCCACTGTTAAACTTTACACAGATGATCCGATAAATTCGTTCACGTCTAAGATTAACTTGTAGAACCAGTTTCTTATTAGGATAATCACCTTATTGTACTACACAAAGATTGCCCACAGAGTCGATCTCGTGACCCAAAGAGTTGCCAGCCCGATAGCAGCAGACTACATAAGTAAAGATTAAGCAGATCTGTAGCAGCGACCTGCATATTACAACAATGTCTATTCTGTTCCGCACTGCGCATATTTCGTCTGATTGGGTTACCCCATCGCATTAAATGCACTCTTGTAATCCCCCGCTGTTCAATGCAACCTTCTGCCAATAACACCCGTTCATGTATCGTTTTAGGTGTTGTAATAAATGTCGTACGATCGATTGGATTCCGGAAAAGTGTACTCTTTGATAGAACCCGCGAAATGTTCGCCTGATGCTCTCACCCAATATAAAAGTATAAAATGGGATGATAAACCGCATAGGCATTCATTATAATTAATTCATTTACTTAATTAAAAAGAAATCTTTCGGACAATTCTATTTATTATACTATTATATCATTATCAGTAGTATTATTATTATTATCATCGCCTTCTAAAAACGGTTCTCCTACTGCTTTTCCCTCTATTGTTATTCTCCCCGAGAACGTTAATAAAGAATTAGACTAAGAATATATTTGTCACAAGAAAAAATAGCCAATAAATTCTCAATCTATAAACAGACATGTTTTCAAAATTTCTCTCCAAATTCGCTCTTCCAACCTTCCACTTGAATAGTTCCTCTTCTACTCTAGTCGATACAGTATACCCTGCCCCACCACTACCTTCCCGAACTATTCGATTTAGCATGATATCGACTGACGTATCCGAATCGGAAATAAACAACTGGTCTCCAGTGGACGAAGCGCCAACTCCTACTGAGGAGATTAAAGAAATAATACCCTTGTTGTCCATAAACGTTGAACACGAGACACACAGAGTTGCGTTCAAGACGTTGCAGCAATGTATCGATTTGTTAAGAACATTGCCAAGCGATGAAATTTATACCAGGGAGAGCAAGTTCGTGCCCAAGAGCACTATAGGAAAGCACGTTAGGTATGGCAACGTTTGTGGGTTTTGATATTACGTTGTAGAAACCGTGTGATAATAATAATCCGAGTAAGAAACAGGGCATTTTAACGGCAACTAAAGAAAAGCAGACTGTCACTATTGCTTTCATTCCTTTCCTTTTGTTGTCTGTAAACACACTAAATACATAGAATTGTTTCCGCTCTATTCCATTGAGTAAACTTGCTACACAAAATTTTAACCAATGTCCAAATTTCTATCTCCACTCAGGCACGTATACGACCACTTTCGATTATTATTCGAAAAGATTCCGCACGTATCTGATGGCACAGACAGTGCATACTCTTCTGTATCTTCAGAAAAACTGAATGTCGATTGGCAAGTAGACTACGATAATAGACTGCGAAATGTAAGCTATCAAACTATTGTCAATTATCACCTTGTACTATATTCTATGATCAGACATTACAATAACCTAAATGATGTATATTCAGGTCCAATTAGAATTGTCTCGTGCAGTAGCCATCAATCGCATCAAGGAAATACAACAAGCTATAACCAACGAATATGTTAACATACCACTCGATACGACCGTGCGTCTTCAGGCTACAATCGACTCTAGCATGCAGCATGAGCCAGCAGGGTTCCTTTCGACTTATGGAAGAGAGCTGTGGTTTTGTTGTCATCATGCCGTAAGTAACATCTGGATTAACATCTGAAAAAAGCATAATTCAGCCTCCGCTAGTTTTGTGTTGCATCCCGAGTTGGCGCAATTACACATTCGACCAGTTTATTAACGCCTCTCCCTTTTGTTTAGATTCATCATTACGCTCTCATAAGAGTCATCTGCACTGAACAGAATATACATGTGCCAGATGACTTTGGAATTGCTCCTTCCACTCTCAAGAGTCGCAAGCAGTATTCGGGATAAACTTCTAAGCGCCGCCTGAGAATGCAAGACGACTAAAATGCTGAAAGTCTTGAATTTCTTGAAACACAAGAGGTATATTTATATAACGAATCACATCTCTGTATATAAGATTCTGATGTCGTAAAAAAGTAACGAGGCATAACTATAAAGAGCCTTTTATATTATTAAAGATTAGTTGTACACTTTTCCGGCGTTCTTTTGATTCTATATTTGTACACTATGGTCTCTTGACATATACTCCGAACAACTGTACAATATTTTTTATTCAATAAGATAATATATCACCAACATTTATTTGTTTCCAAATGCTCAAAGAGTCACTCATTGAACGTTTACGAATACCGGTATCTTTATTAAAGTTCAGAACTCCAAGCAATCATAGTTCTGCATCCATCATTATATAAAGATCGGCGTTTTCTTGTAGCCAAGATCCTGAGATACGGGCTAATTTATAACTCCAACGGACAAGCAAGCTTTTCATTTCAACTTTAACTCGATGAGAATGTAGAGTGACTGGGCAGATGAAAATGCTGTAGATAGTTTCCTTTGTTGCCAAATCGGAAAAGGGCGTGCATACTTGTCTCGAGACATTGATTCATGAAAAGTGCTTTTTCTTGTTCACGTGTTGAATATCGATTCATCGAGCTTCTAGGAAAAGAGTCCTTCGTATTTTCTGACCAATACCGGTATATAAATACAGCAGACTGAGAATGCACTGAATTACGACTACCTCGATATAATCAACCCCAGCATTAATCTGATTGGACAATCGAGAGAATGTTACACACATATATAATACATATCAGCCATTGAAGCCACAAATACAAATTCGCAGCCACAAATACGAGTTGCGGCTAGAAATTTTCGAAACACGCCTTCTACTCTACACATTGTGAAAGTAATTCGGAAGTTAGCTAACAAGCACTCTATTGTGGACGTTCCTATTATTACGAAAACGAGAATACAGTTTTTGAGCAAGATGTCTAAACAGGAAAAAGGAAGGCCCAATACTGTGATTTGAAGGGCCAGTATAACATTGCTTGTGATTATGAACAACATGGAATCTATTATATCCGACCGAGTAGCAATACCAATTTCAAGCCAGCATCTGGATCTAGTCGGCAAAGCTTTATGCCGAAAACATTACAATAAGTTAATAGTTAATGCAAAAAAGTCAAAAACTAATTCATGTTCTCATCCCATTTCGTTGCGCAAGGTATAACTCTACCAATCCTATAGCATTCAATGCTACTTTCTGTTTATTATTAAGAGTTGTTCTGCAACACGAAAAAATTTATTATAAAAGATCCAATCACATGATGTGCATTAGGGATGAACCACAATAGAAATATAATAGATGGGCTGGAAGATTGTAGAATAAAGAACGCGCAACAAATCAATAGGTCCCCTCATGGGACTCAGTGTTAACTGTGCACTTAGGGAGGGATTGCACTTAGGGGAGTTGCACTTAGGGAGGTCCCACTGTAGATAAGTTTGTCGTCACACTTGGGTACTCGACAGATTTGCATTCGTGTCGTCGTTTTCTGTCTGCTTTTAAATATAACCCTCTCAAATACAACCTAATGGACGAAAATCAAGGTTGTAGAGTATGTATTAGTTTTTCAATCTGATCAAGCCTACTAACGACCGGTATTATTATTTCAGGAACTACAGAAGATACTATTATCGCGCAAGAGAATGGTTTGTCTTAGTAAATATTAGGTATCCGGTCTAATCAAGTTTACCAACAACCAGTACTGTCATTTCCGTAAAGTACACGTGGCAAAATATTTTCTTAGTTGTTAATGTTGAAGAAGGCGCTGTTCCAAAGTTGAGTCCAGAAGAATTAGTGGTATATAATAGGTTGAATGTTGCAGAAAAAGTTACTTTTTTGAAGGTACTTGGTCAAAAAAGGAAGAAGGAAAAGAAGAAGGAAGAAAGAAGAGCATAAAAGAGGAGTATGTTATAAACCATATATTTGACATCAAGACTTTACTAAAATTATAATAGTTTTTCAACGATTTTTTTTTTCACCTTTAAATAGAGATACTATGTAAATTTAATAATTGCTCTACTTATCATACTTGTTTTTTTTTTAATGTAAGATCTTTATTGACAGCTACAGATAACTGCTAAAGCTGTTTTTAGACAGCTAGTACATGAA